CGAAGTACTAGTGTACAGTATATAGTTTGAGGTGATTTTTGGTGAAGTTGAACTCAAAAGTAAAGTATCACTTTTGAAATCATAGATCATAGATAGAGATGAGTTGAAGGAGTTATACACACACACTGTAGATACCAATACATAGCCACATTAAAGTAGGATTCCTTTCATCACAATCTTGAAAAAATCCAGGACAATCTATTAGGACAACACTTAAAAAAAAATATAAAATACAATAAATTTTTCTTTTATACAACAGGGATAAAACTACAACGTAGAATTAACACTTTGATCCTTAACATTTTAGCAATACAGAAATAAATTATATCCTGGATGATTAAAATTCCGATGAAATGAATTCTAGTCGATCATTTTGCAGCCAATTACATCAAAACTCCAAATAAATGTAGTTAATGCCCTCATCCGCTCTACAACACATACCAAATCAATAACACTTCTTGACAATTAATCAGTTAAGTAATAATAGTAAAAAAGAAAACACTAATTCTGTGTTATGATGGCCCTAATTGGAAGACAGTGTTTTAAATAAAGCTCTGTTATATCATATTCAATTTGGCATCTGAAAAATTGTGCAACTTTAGCAACATAAAGACAGAGCAAATGTACTTGGCCCAGGTTCAGACTGTATGTTGTCCCTGGTGCTGGTGCTAAGGGGTCATACCAGCGGTTCAAACGCAACACGATATTGTTTTTGGATGGGTTTGTGTGTTTATATAGTATTTCTATGGGCCTAAAAATCTGTATTATGCTAATCTTGAACCCCTGAACTTGACCATGTCAGATTAAGGGTTCAAAGTTGACATGGCACTGATTTTTAAACTCACACACACACTATAAATGTCTTCTTTACAGACAGACACACACAAACACACACCAAGAACAGTAACAAGCTGACTATGAACTGCAGATATGACCCCTTCAGCTGTAATACAAGCTAAAAGGATTAACTTACAAGTACTGACTAAAACTGAGATCACAGTATCTTTGAATGCCTGGCAGTTTAGATTGAGAGTGGTATTAACCCTACACACTGTTACTCAACACGTGGGTCTCTCTCGTCTAGCGTCCACTTGTCACACATCGGCTCACTGTCAAACGAGTCACAATCCTAAGTATGCCCAATGAAACCTAACCATATAGCCCTTGGGGTCACAGGCTTACAGATTACAATAGGTTAAGCTAGACCTATCAGAACCAAGGCCTATAAAGACTGGGGGCCATTTAGCAAAAAAGGACAAACCAGTGTTGTATCTTCTACTGATACATAGTTTCAAAATACATAAACAGCACATCTTAATCCTTTTCCCAGATAGCAACTCAAGACTTGTATTTCACGTAAGACTAAATATATTTTCCAAATTTTATACTTGGCTTTAAAAATACTAGACAAGACAAACAATACCAGTAATAACAATGCACTTTCTTTTCTGTGGGGGGAGGGGGGTTCAAATAAATTTTAAGAGATGGCTATGACAAAGAGGAAGGTTTTTCATTGCCAAGCCTTACATCACAAATGTAACTTTGATGACAAGGTTCCTTTGTCAGTGGCAGCGCCTTATTTTTTTTTGAAGAAAAAAACAACATTAAATAATCTTAACTCTCCTGGGAACACCTTGAAAGTAACAACAAAAATAGAAAAATAAAGAGGATTGATTTCACAGATTTGAGAGTACAAATTTGGTAAACGCTTTGACATAATTTTTCGGGATACATTATGGTAAGCTGAACTGAAAATACTCTAATATTAATTAAAGTGATAAAGCTAAAGCATATCCCCTCATTGTAGAAATTAAACTTTTTTCATATTCATAATGATAAAGCTATTAACTTTCATGCTGGTAGTCAAGATATGACACGCTCCCAATTTATTTGTGACACACACACACTAGTCTCCATGCCATGCCATGGTTGCACAAACAACCTCGGGTGGCACCTTCCATCAAGACACAAATATAACCCCAACAGTTCATGATTCTAATGTCTTGAGTCAAATTTCAATCCAGTCTCTTCCCATACTGTGCATCAAACAGAGCAACAGGGCAGCGTAATATACTATCATGAAAATCATGCACATACTGTACGTGCAATTATTCAACATTAAAGATAATCTGTATATTGCAACACAATATTGTATGATGAAGGGTTCTATGTACCATTCAGCTTCCAACACAAGAAACACGCAAGTTCTTGATCCAATACCTACATTACTTTGGTCAATACTGCACCAGTACAGAGCCTCAGAAGTTACATTAATCATGATATAGTTTGAACCTCTGCAATATTCCTGAGTTTATATAGTATATCATATACCCCACTTCCCTTCCAACTCATAAATACATCCCATGATACCATAAACACAATGTATCTCACGCAACTGGCCTCTTCTTAGTACCTCCTGTGATATTACAAACTCAAAATGAATTCCACAGTACTGTACAGTATTGGCAACCCATTACAGCATTCAATTTATTACCTCAGACCCTGCAATTCACAAAAGTTTTCCATACTACCAATTCTCAATGAATCCCAAAGTACTGGCAACTCACAAAAGCTTCCCGTATTACATATAAACTCGTAAAGCTACCCACAATACTGGCAACTTGCAAAAGCTTTCAAATTCATCAACTCATAATAATTCCCACAGTTCAGGCAACTTGCAAAAAGTTCCCATATTTTTTTTTTCATAAAAAGATTCCCACAGGACTGGTGACTCTCAAAGTTTACCATATCATCAACTCATAAGGAATCCCAGAGTACTGGTTGGTAACTCGTAGATATGCCTTATAGTAATGGCACTTGACAAGCATAGCCCACTGTACTGACCACTTATTATGTACCCCACAGGACTGACCGTTCACTACTAGACATAATTCCTCTACAACTTTAACGTTCCACGATTACGTTTATCTCACATTAGTAACAGGTTCAAGCTGGAAGTGACGACTGGCTAAGGGTGGCAAGCATTTGTGTGAGACATCACAGTCGACTGAATAACATAAATAACACTTTCCTTTCTTGTTATATGTTAAACGGGGCAAAGGTCAAGTGGACCCAAGTCCAAATAGGCCCCAAACCTTCCTTAGTAATTGGAATGGAGTCAATTAGGACTGGGCTCCAATCCTAAAAGTCGAGTTAGATGGGGGTCATTAGGACTTAGCCCACTAGAAATGGGACCTATTAGGACAGAGGTTGAATTGACCACTCACATGTCACATGCTTCACACACTACACAAGTGTGTATGCATATAAACTCCTTTATTACAGCAATTATTTTTGCCCCAAGAGGCAGCTAATGCTTTTAACTTACTGATTGACTAAATATTTACCAAATAGTTCAAGATACATCTATATAATAATACTGTACTTTAAATTCACAACAATAAAGTACAGTTTATAAAACCAAGATATGTTCTTATTTTTTTTACAGTGTTGTTGGATTCTATCAACTGTACCATAAGTGAAACTACAAAAAAACCCCACTTAGTCGGGGATGTCAGAAAGTGAAACTAAATTCAAGAAACTTAAATAAAGAAATTACCCAAAAACTTCTAAATTGAAATCAAGTTCAACATACAATTGGAATACTTACTTCCTCTTCCATCCCAGATATATTCAGTTATTTCTTAACCACCTGAGTTCATTACTAAGCTAAGCATCACTCTGAATTTACAGTCTTTCTGGTGTATCTTAGGTGACCACGCTCAACCTCTCTCTAACCTAGGCCTTACACTGATACACCACAAACACTGCATTCTATCCCTGTAAAGACTGAGCTGGTGTTGATTGTGAAGTGCAGTGACATTAAATCAAAAGCTTCAAGAGATGCAATGAGGAACTTCAAGAAATTTTTTGTCCCAATAAATTAATCTGGCCAAGGGAAGATATTACTGAGTGAGATATGAGATTATTTTTTCCAAGAAAGACCACGATGAAGAGGGGTCAGACCATGGGAGATAAAGAGGAGTTAGACCATGAAAAAGAGGGGTCAGACCATGGGAGATAAAGAGGAGTTAGACCATGAAAAAGAGGGGTCAGACCATGGGAGATAAAGAGGAGTTAGACCATGATAAAGAGGGGGCAGACCAAGACAGAAATAAACCACCACACAGAGTTGTAAGTCCTAGGATCCTAAACGTTTTTTATCGTCTCCGTAATTGGGGAGAGAAAATATGTCACTCATATTCCACTTAATGACGTCTTCCCCCAAGCCGTGGTCATGAATACATTATAATGAAATAGTTTACTCAGTAGGTAAGACTTAAAAAACAAAAAAGTTCTTTTGTAAACTAATCATCGATGCTAAGACAATAAATTATAATATACACACTGGAAAAATGGAACACGGAACACTTCCATAAGGTCTTTAATTCAAATAATTGTCAAAATTCACTCCAGCCACCCTGTATTATTGAACGAAAGGACATGTAAGAGTGGATGGAGAAAAAAATCAACTCCAAAAATAGTTCATGATCGCCGTTTTAAAAAGTTGTTCATGCTTCTTCTTTTATATATATATAATATATACAGATACATATGTTCCAGTTATCCCATGTGGCTTTTACCATATCGAAATAACTTAAATTGTGGATAAGCCGTTATTTGCCCTTTCAATGTGAACATGTATGTACAGTATACACACACAGATGCACACACACACACACACACAAATATATATGCACCACTCCCAAGTAAAATGTATTTGTATGACACTGGCTTGTGAAGACTAATAGTGTGTGAGTGAGTGAGTTGTGATGTGGAGAAAACCTATGAAGATGAGATGTACAAGTAACAACCACCCGGCAGGCTGGCAACACAAGGAACCACAGGGAACAATACAAGGAGAGGGTAGAACACCAGAGAGGGGAGGGGAAGAGGGAGGGAGGGGGAGGGTGTCGTTAGGCTATCTTGCCACCAATCACCCAACCATCTTAAGGGGGAAGAGTCCATCCAGCCACCATAACCAAGTATCACGTCTTTACCTCTTGCTTCATCTTCCCTGTTGACATGTCTGTCTTCTTGGATTGAAAGGATTTGTCTTCAGTCTCCAAACCTTCAATTTTAACCTTAACGTCCCCATCTTCAGCTTCAGACTGTAAACAAAGATAAAATTAACAAGACTCTAAGGAAGGCATCACTAGTTTAATATTGTGGAGAAAAAAGAAAAGAAAAAAGTAAAAGTGAAGCCAAAATTCTATAAAAAATAAAATAAAAATAAAATACTGTACTCTAGCTCCCAAGAGAACCTGTCTTCACATTCACACAAGAACTTAAATCAAGTCACTGTGTCTAAGGAAAGTTGTAATGCTGGAGTCACAATAGTCAGAGTTGGAAAGAGTGATGAAGTTCTGAACCCCACAAGACTTCTGCTTGGGGACAATGCATTCATTCATCTGTGTCTACAAAAATATCAAGCCTTTTTTTTTTTATCTAAATTTTTCAAGTCATGGTCAGCTTACCAATTACAACCAATATACCTGTCAACTAATATTTACATTAAAATTTTTATGAATTTATAGTCCGTGGACAGCTCCACCTTACAGAAGAACCTGTGTTTGTCGAGACGTACTTAAATTTACTTAAGTCACAGACCACACCTAAGCCAGTGGTGTGCCCAACAACCTAGGGCAACCACCAGTCTACAGTACTTCACTTCCACAACAAAACTGAAACCACTCCAATTACACAACAGAAGGTGATCACATGTACAGTATACATACCAAACTTTCCACCCACAGGTTGACGGACAACTTCACTTCTATGTCTCCCATTCTTTTTGGTTGGGGGTATTTAAAAATTATATACGTAAATAAAAAAAATCTTTGGTCATTAGTGTTTAAAAAGTAATCTATTATTATCTTTTAAAATTCTGAATTGAATCCCTTTCTTGGTGTTCTACGTGGGTCACCCCACTCCCACCAGTGCACATACAAGTACAGTACAGTCTGTGTCTGGTGATGGTTAACACATGTCTCTTCTCAAAATTGTCCCAAACTGTAAACCTTTTGTGTTTTCTACTCCACTGTATATTATCAGCAATAGAGTACAGTGAGGAATAAAAGGACAGAGTGATCCACCAAGCAGGGCAGAGTGATGCAAGATAAGGTCAAAACAACAAGCACAAAAGTCCACACACACTTCATCACTATAAGACAGTCTTTCTCAAACTCTTAATCTTCTGTATGAATCTCAAGACACAAGGATGGTGAGATGTTATTCAGCTCGGGTGTGTGGTGGCATGACCTGCCCACCAGTTATGTTAATACAGTACCCTGGGCTAATCTAATTCCCCTTATAATAAACAGCATACAATTTTTGCCTATGTTTTTACTTTCTATTTAGGTTAAGTCCGACTGAAGACTTTGTTCCTTTAGCTCCAAACCTTCAACTACACAGCAGTCATAAGCACAATCACCCAAAAAGTCCTGTCACGAACCATGAATCCCGAGATTCAGACCCTTGAATCCGAAGCATTTATGGACAGAATAATGTGTCAGTGTCTACTGCTTCGGGTTCACGAGTCTGAATCTCGGGGTTCATGGTTCGCGACAGGACTTTTTTGGGTGACTGTACATCAATAAGCCTGCCAGTAATTTTACAACATACACACATACATACATACAGTACACAGCCCTGAAAGTGCACATGACATAACGATCTGCCAAGTGCTTGCCCAGCATTCATCACGACTGATTAAAAAGCAAAGACAGTGTTTCTACGACTCCTTCTGCCACCTACCACACTTGTCATCACCATACAACACTCTTCCAGTCTTTCATTTACTCACACTTACTCTTGATAGTGAATTATGGCAGCTGTGGCTTCATCAACTTAGGCTAATTCATCTCCTTTTCCAAGTTATCAAAATAGTCGCCTGACATACATGCATGTAGCTGGTTGGCTTAAAGCATTAGTAGCTTCTTGCCTTCTTGTACATTAACCTAAGTCTTGTGTGTGTGTGTGTGTGTATATATGTGTGTGTGTAAAAGAAGACATTTATAGTATGAAGTTACACACTCACCACACTACACTAAACTACCTCCATTACCTACTGTCTGGTACATCATTTGTTCTACCCCCATCAGGCAATCACACGGTGACTCACCACAGATCTCACAAGCTGAAGTCTTTCCCACATACACTTGGAACACATTGTTACAGCACTCAAGGCTACCCACAACCAGAGACCCTACACCAGGAGTTGAAGGCCAGTTACCCACTGACCTTGGACAGTGGTTTATTTGGTATCCCTGGACTGACATAGCAAGTGAGGATAACACCAACAAACAAGCTCACCACCACCACTTCTCTCCCAAAGAGTGTTACAGGCTACACTTAGTTGACTTGCCTTGGATTACACCCTGTACTAAAGAAACTTGCGCACAGCTTTCTTCCTTAAAATTAATCTGTGTAAGGTTGTCAGTGCCCAAGTCATTTGTATAATAGATGCAGCACAAAAGTCTTGATTAGCCTGCCAATATAAAACATCTGAAGTAGACCTACATCAGTCAATGGTATGGAAACACAAGGAATTAAGTAAAGTAGTAGTTTGACCACAATGAAGCACTCCTTCCCTTCTTCAGTCATTTCACCAATGATGCCACCTGCTCAACAAACCAATAAGCATTTTGAAAATAAAACCCAGATGCTCCCCCACCTTGACACAGCCTGTCTTCCAGTTTACCTCTCAGATCCATAATCCAATGATAAGTAGCAGAAATCAGGAGTCGCCAGTTTCAGGGTTCACAGTTCCACCATTCCCATCGACCTACCAACCAGTGACATTCTAAAAGAAGATCTTCCCAAAACTAGCAAAAGGCAGAACGGTTTCACGAGTGAAATGTCCATACTGAATGGATTAAAATGTCCTTTTAATAACTTTTTATTTATTTTTTTACTCATATCGTAGCCTAATATACTGCACAACCAACTAGAGGAACACAAACAAAGAGGTCAAGTGAGGAGTGTGAACAGTCTGCCAACTCTAGACAAGCTCTACTTAGCAACTAACTGGCTCCTCATCACCAAACAAGTGGGCAATGATTGTTGCTATTGCCCCGAGATGTGACAAAAGTACAGTAGCTCATTCGTGCTCCCACTCTTGGCTGTACTGAAAGTTGATTGGTGTTCTAGTTCTCTCTGGAAACTCCACTCTCACCTTTACCCACGATGAAAATTTTTATCTCCCATGAAAATCCAGAGATGTGAACAGGATCAATACAAAAATAGGTCATCCACAGTACACTGCATAAACACACCACACCATGTGACTAGGCAGTGAAGAAACAAACATAAGCTGGACAGATAAAAGCATTGTTTACCACCACCAAAACTAACACTTACCGTGGTTAAGACTCACCGTTGTAGCTAACATCTCTTTAAGAATGATACTCTTCTCTAGTTAAGAGTACCTATGGGTGTGTGTGTGTGTGTAATTTTTTAACAACCTCTACCCTGAAGCCATAACAAAGACTCCTAAAATACTTCTCCAGGAAAATGAAGACAGTCATGGGGTGTTGCTTGTAAACCTTATACAGTATGCAAGCTCTTATTAATGTTCTGGAAGATGAGATGAAAAAATACATAAAAATAAAATTATGGAAATCTAAGAAATTAATGTTTCTGTCTCAAGTGAAATTTATTCCCAACTGTAGTTGATGATGATTGGTGGTGCTGCTGTCACCACCATCATTATCATCACCACAACCAACATCATCATCATCATCATCATTAAATCACATTTTTAAGTTATTACCGTAATCATCAATTTTGCTTTCAGGATCTACCTAACATATCCACCGAAAATAACAATTATGTGAGGGGGTTTAAGTGGATCTCCAGGTAACTTGTCTGAACTGAGGGCCCCACCACCATATCCACCATGAGCCCAACTGATTTACAATCCACAAGTGTAGTTGCAATTTGTAGGATCATGTGCTGTACCAATGATTTGTGCAGGGTTTACAGCACAGCACAGCACAGTTGCCCGACACACCAGAGACCTTCCATGACACACTAAGACCACATTTGTGCAGTATAATAATGGGAGACTTAAGTCACTGGACCAGGAGCTGACACTAGAAGCTATAATTTACATAATAATTTTCACTAAACTCCCTCAACTTAATTTATGAAACAACCTGTGTTATGTTTGCCCCCCAAAACACTAGTGTAGTTTGTCATTTCCAACAAAAAATAAAAAATTGTAGCAACAAACTAGTGAGACACAGGATTCAGTCACTGACACATCACCACCAAGGACTTACATGTAGCCTCTCTCATTAGGTTCTTATCTCTGAGGTCATTTCTCACATCCTCTCACCATGTCATTCATGGCCTAGCCCTAACTCTCTTCCCCTCCACATCCAAACTCAGTCATCTCTTGACCCAATTGGTCTCCTCCACTTCTTCCACATACAAACCAACCATCTCGGCCAACTTCTACACCAAACCTCACTAATACTCTCATCACCCAGCCACCCTCTTAGTTCTCAAGAGTTTCCCATCTCTAAATAATCACATTATACATACTGTACATCTACCCACTATCATATCAGCTACCTTAAGTCTATGTATAACATCCTCTTTAACTGTTCATTTTTAATTGCCATAAGACACATCACAATTTTCATGACGGCTAAATACAACTTTCTTTTCACACACAGAGAAAGTTCTCTTGCCAAAAATGAAGTTATAGCTCGCTAATCTTCTTCTAGCCACTTTTGACTCTTGCCTAAGCTAGCTTCAGTACTGATTAAGTCACCCAGGTAGCAGAACTCATCAACACAGTCCAGGGATATATCCCTAATGCCATACTTTTCCAGCCTTGCTGAGACCACATGTTTACCTATAGCTACATACAGCACACTTACAGTCAACAACATCCTGCAGTCTGCCCTTTACACCACTGTATTGTACATTACAGACTTACTGTCAATGCCTTTCTTACAGACAGCACATGGCCACTTCCCACCACAGGTCCCTCACCCACACCACTAATTATTACTTTTGTTACTGCACCAGTCACTCTCGTATCCTTTAACTCCACTTCATTCTTCCAGTTCTAAAACTTCTCTACTACCTCTTCAATGCTGTTACCAGCACTAAGTTGTCAGCATACAACAACTCCAGGGCAAGTCAGTCCTAAAAACCTGATCAAATGCCTCCAGAACCATTGATAACCAGAAGAGTTTAAGACACCCATCACTGAGGTTCTCAAGCCCTCAATGTCATAACCACTTGTACCAGACACCCAACCCTTACTTATTATAACTCACCACACTAATTAATTTGGCACTGTACCATCTTTCTATAAGTATCAAATACTTTCTATAAGTATTTCTCTGGCCATAAATATTGTCTCTATAATCCCTCAACCTGGCATGAAGCCAAGCCGCATGTCAATAATGTCAACTCCTTCCCTTATTAATTTCTCACTCACTCTAACTTGATCATCAGCATCCAAGTTCATTACCGTTTCTGCTGTAAGTATTAACAGTCATGCTTCTCAGACGGTCAGTTGGAACAATACATTTCATTATATTTGTACTGTCCAGCATTAATCACACCAACATTGTCATTCTATCAACCACAAACCTCATCCATTTTCTTTTAATCCTTGGGCATGGTCCCTGTACTGGTTCCGCTGCTTCTAGCTCCCCACCGACTTTCCCACTCAAACTCTCTATTCAACAGACAATACTGTAGTAGAATTTTCACCAAGAATCCTTATTTTCTTATTATCAACAGCCACATTTCCAGTCACTTCTCACATTTTAACCCACTACTTGACTGCTCTTCTGTAGACCTCACCTCTAGCATACCACAGCAGTACCAGCATATGCATCCTTTCCACACTTCTTAACCTTTTAAATTTCTTCTGAGCCTCTATATGGTCTCCAGGCACTCCTCCTCATCACTACCCATCTTCCAGGCCTAATCAAATCTTCTTTTCTTCTTTATCATTTAGTCTGCTTCACCACACATCAAAGAATTAACATTCAAGGCAGATTTAAAAAAAATAATTTATGGAAATCTTCACATCTTTGTTGGCATAAATATATGGCTGCCACCTTCCCAACAAACTAATTAAATATACCAGAATAAATAAATCCTAAAAAATTACTCCTTCCAGTAGGGTCTCAAAGTACACAAGGGTTACATACCTGGGATCTCCGTGTAAGTGCGAATTCACGTATGTTCATGTCCCCCTGTACACTATACAGTATACATATGTATAACTCCTTTATAATTAGGGAATCAATTTGCAACTTCACAGTTCAATTCACCACTCCTTAGTAAGTCCAATATCTTTACTTGTTCTTCAAAAGTTCTCACAGTATGAGCTTTTTTCTTTATCTCACTCTCACCACTATGAACACTGCCATTATTTTTCCTCTTATGGGCCATGATTGTGATAAAATTCACCAGTAAAGAAAAAACTTTGTGCGCACATACACCTGGGAGATGTTTATGGAACCAATGCGCGAGAAAAGGACGCCTTTGTAATAATTTTACTTACAGTACCATACAAACACCCCAAGTGTACAAGCGAACACAAATATTAAACCATATGAACACTTTAAATGTGCAAACAAACACTCAAACCATCCTATGGGCGACATGATCCATTTCAGCCGAGCAGTCACTTGACCGACTCCGAGATGTGTGTGCGTATGTCGTGGCGTCACATCGAGGGGGAGCGCAGCTTGGTGGTGAGTCGGCAACACAGTTACAGCCCACTGCCTCCACACCTATGTTCACTCCTCACACATACACATCCATGCTTTTCATTTGTCTTATTTTACAGTTTTCTATTACATTTTCTTTATTTCTATTCCACATTATTGTAAAGATTTTCTTCCCCTTTTCTCCAAAACGAGTACGGACAAGTAATAAACACGCTGATCAGCAAGAAATGCTGGGTGGGTTGGCTCACACGAGAGCGAGACCCAAACTTAAGGACAGGTCACACACATATAAGCAGGGTCATGTACAGTACTCTGCAACCCTACTGTATTATTATTTTTTTAATTTGGTATATGCTGGGTGAAGGATTCTATACCTGTAAATCTCAGTCTTTATTTAATTTTTAAAAATATTTCAGCTCTTTGGATGATGAGTAAAGATTATACAACTATGCTATCTTTTAGAGTCCACCCCAACCTTTGAATACTTGCATGGGCACCATATTTGTATCATTCAGTGTTTCATGTAGGTGTGATAACTTGGGTTCATAGATTCTTCTGCACAATAATTATGTTAACACACACTTGATACGAGTTCAGGGTGCCAAGATCCCCCCCCCATCAAACCCTGTTGTAAGTCACACGTTAGCTCATAAACTGATGGTCCCGAGGGTATGAGTACACTGAGAGGTTCTACTACATGACTAAATATAAAGTACCGTAAAACAATGTATCCTCAACCCACAATCACCGGACGCCATAGTGTAACCCACAAACTACAACAGTGTAAATGGTGAATGCAATAGACAGCCACTGTGCCTCTCAAACCTTGCTACTTCTGTGTTGAGGTTTATTTTTCATGCATCATACAACAAGATGTCTTCTGCTATGAGTTGTGGAAGTGTAGATTAACCATTTTCAAGCATGGCTCACCGTTCCATAATGAACGGCAGAAACTCTTGAGTAAATTGGTCTCTATTGATGGTAAATTCTTGTGAGAAAACAGAGATGTGTTCCTGGACCTCAATAAGTCTTTTATATATCTCCCAATTGTTCTTTATAAAGAAATAAAGGCCTTTAAAGTTTGTTACTAACTACCCTACACTTTTACCACTGATATGCACAGTTTATGCCCCCCCCCCCCATTAACTATCTTTATGTTACTTGTGTCATGTTTCTTCTGGCCCATTTTTCTGTGACCAGCTCAACCTACTGGCACCCTTCATCCTCTATCAAGATCATGTTCTAAAATGGCAACCCTCTGCTGGTTCCCACGTTCTCCATCACAATTTCCAGGCAATCAGATCCTCCCACTTTTTAACAAACGTTCTTTGTCTAATTAGTGGACATACAGGGTATATCCTTCAGAATGGTGTCCACAAGGTTGTTCATTATCGAAGGCTTATGGTGCAGTAGGTACAGTAATCCCATGCTTTTCAAGTTTTTTTTATCGCATTTTTGACCATTTGAGGTTAAAAAAAAATTATATATATATATATATATATATATATATATATATATATATATATATATATATATATATATATATCCTTTACAAACAAAAATTTAAGTTTTGCGCCATTTTTTATATTCCCGTGTGGTGCGGCACCCGCTGCTCCGAGAAGCCTCAGTCCACAAGTGCCTACCATACTGTGAATGCTACTGTGACTGTGAGGGCAGGCAGATACCAGGACAGCAGGGAGAGGCTGGCAATGCAGGTGTTGCCGACCTCAGCAAAATATAAAATTTTTAATTTACTTGTAAATAATTTTTTTTGTATATAACCGTGTTTATGTTTTTCTATTATTATACTACAATATGATTAGTTTAAAATAATGATGTTAGTAAATGCCGGTTCAGTGCATCAGTGATCAGTGTGACCACTGGGCCGTGAGTGGAGAGCATGGCGTGGTTAAGTGCATGACTTACCTGAGCTGTTTGGTGGCCACAGGTACAGTGATTCCTAAAAGAGAATTTGCGGTTTTGACTTTTCGCGGGGGTTTCAGGAACGTAATTCCAGCGAAAAACACAGGATTACTGTATTAAGAGTTCCAGAGGATAGGATTGCAAAGCTGGTAGAGGGAAGTTATGTAAGGGAGGTGATGAGTAGTGGGTAAAAACTACATCACAGGAAGAAGTGGAGTAATACATTAAAGAGAAAGTATAGAATTAGAGAGAGCAAGTAAAAAAATCTACAGTGACAGTGTGACACGGCAGGGGGGGGGGAAGGGGATTCTGTTATGGCCACTACCTCAAGAAGGGAGTCCACCAGCTGGGTAGCCAGGCATCACAGATAAAAAGATGAGGTATGCAATACTTACAAGAATCTGTGGCGTCTTCACTTCACCCGTGTCACTGCCGGTCACCGAGGCTCGACTGCTTGGAACCCGATTATGCTGGAAAACGAGAACAAAATATTAAAACAATTGAATAAGAAGACCAAGCACGATTTATCTTTCAATATGAGTGTGGGAGTAAGAGGGATTCATTACAACACTGCATCTCTTGGTTTATGACCCTATTTAAAGTATTATATGTGTGGATGTGATAAATGAAAGGAAGTGGAAACAAGAGCAGCAGGAGCCCAGTGATACAGTCATTAATGTCAATAATTCTAGAAATCCTCAAAAGCTCTATCTACATAATTACTCTAACAATATCTTACAATTATGAACACTTGGCCTCTATCTCTCTCTCTCTCAAATCTCTCCTCCCCAACACAGATCAGTGAAATTAGGTTTTCACAACTACATAGAAAGGAAAGCTAGTCATAGTAATTTAAAAAGGCATGTCGATGCAGCTTGTAACCTGGATAACTGTACTTCCTTCTCTCTGACACACTGGTCCAGCAGGTCAGTGAGCTAGACACTGACCAAGAACAGACACAGTGAATGATATAAGACATTTTACAGGGTCAGACAGAAATTGGCAACAGCAATTTAAACCTGCTAACAATTTCTTGACACGATCTCACCAGTCACTGTTTACACCTCAGACACATTCATCTTTCCTTTCATCTTCCTCAATTCTTAAGGTTTATGGATCACTTAATCAATATCAGGTTGATTGAAATTAGTCCTAAGATTACAAAACCTACCAGTGCTGACACATTAAATAACAAACACAAGAGAAGATCACCACAATAAATCACCTTGATCTTTGGCCAAATGAATGAACATGAACTATGGTAATCACTCAACAGTACAGTTATTCTCAAGCTTCATCATCATTATGTAATGGTCATTTTCAACACTTGCGAGGGTTAGCAGTTGTCACCTGATAGTAGCTCTCCATACTGCACAGTCTTTTGCAATCTCATGTCAGGGAATTCCTTACACTCTCTCCCCACATCATTCTTGCCTACCCCTGACTCTCCTCCTCTCCACACTCAAGACTCTAACTCCTACACCACCTGACTCAATTGGTCTCTTCCATTCCCGTGTACATGAGCCCTCCCAGTCTGCCTCTACACAAAACCATTCTCATTTCAGCTCACTCATGCCAACTTATGTTATCCTCTCTAACTGCCCATGTTTCACTGCTATACAACACACTTCTCAAGCCAACTACATACAGTGGGGTATGCTATAACGAATCTAATTGGTTCTAGAACCTTGTTCGTTATAGCATTCGTTCGTTATAGGAATATTCGTAGTAGGATCCGTTCGTTATAGCATACCCCACTGTACATCTTTCCTTTCAAACAAATAATCCTCTTGTCATAAGGGCAGCAACTCCCTAAACTTCTTCAAGACCCTTCTAAATCTTGTAGCTGGGTTAGCATCAGCACCACCTCGAGTACTGATTACCGCATATGCCAGTGTATAAAACCAGGTTTCCCCCCCAAAAAAATGTATCACAAATTACCCTGCGGCTAATGCTCCCGTATTACAGATGGGAGGCCGAGCACCACAGGCGGAGGTGCCTAGCTAGGGAGTCTGGGACGAGCGGTAGTCCAACTAAGCACAAAAATTGTTACTAATAATATTACTAATAATAAAATACTGAAAAGCAAGCCAAAGTATCACAATCTATTATCACAAACTTACAGCAAATTTGCCAAAGACATAAATAATGGCTTACATTGGCTAACGGCAGAGGGAAGCTCACATCATCTCACTGTACCTCCTTCCCCAGCATACGTAACCCACACCAGATACATGTCTTACATTATTTAATAAGAACATAAGAAAATAAGGAGTCTGCAATAGGCCGATTGGCCTGTGCATGGCAGCTCCTGTCGAGAGTTACTACCACTCTCTATCATCCATGAATCTATCTAGCCTCCTTTTAAAACTTTCCAGCATTCCTGCACTTACCACAAAGTTGCTAAGCTTGTTCCACTCGTCCACCACCCTATTTGTGAACCAGTTCCTTCCTATCTCCCTCCTAAACCTAAACTTATCCAACTTAAATCCGTTGCTCCGACTCCTATCCTGCTCGGATATTATAAGAACTTTATCGATATCCCCTTTATTGATTCCTTTCACCCACTTAAATACTTCTATCATATCTCCCCGCACTCTTCGTCTTTCTAGGGAATGCAAGTTTAGTTTCTTTAACCTATCTTGATATGGAAGGTTTCTAATGACTGTGTTACCTTTAAGAAACATTTGTTTATTATCTAAATGAATAATGCCTCTAGAAAGATGAAAGAAATGTTAACAAAGTTCAGCCGCTAGTCAGTCATTTGCAATGAGTCAAAACAATAGCGATGGTGCTACACCCTGGTGGCCGATCGTGGCAACACAAAACATCACAGCCAAAAATAAAAGTTTCACATCCTGTCGGTAATTCTCTTGACCAACTTATAAACAAGCCACACAGCTGCTCTGATCATTGATAGAGTTGGGTTAGGATAATGTTACTATATATGATTTCCTACTTGATTCCAGTATATATTGTATTTACATGCACAAAATCATGTTTTTCCCCACAAAACCACTTTAAATAAATGTGTGATGAAAGAGCCAAAAAAAAAAACCAATCCACAAAATATCCTTGTAAAATGGGGGTGCATCTTATACACTGGAAAATCACCCAGGTAACAGTACTCATCAACACAGTCCAGGGATATATCCCTAATGCCATACTTTTCCAGCCTTGCTGAGACCACATGTTTACCTATAGCTACATACAGCACACTTACAGTCAACAACATCCTGCAGTCTGCCCTTTACACCACTGTACCTCCTGTGTACCCACCTTCTACACTCACTGTACATTACAGACTTACTATCAACACCTTTCTTACAGACAGCACATGGCCACTTTTCACTTTCCACCAAAAGTCCTTCAAGTACACCACTAATTTTTACTTTTATTTTCATTAGTAACTCTCATTCCCTTTGACTCCATTTCATCCTTCTATTTCTTTAATTTCTCCACTACCTTTTCAGCAACTCATGAAAGCAATCCAACACCTTACATACTGTCGGGACAAGACCTAGTTTCAGAGAGCCAGTTTCCCTCTCCCCAACATACACAAAAACACATACTTCACTCTCCATATAAACACTGAGAACAGCAATCACCAATTTCTTCTTTGTCCCATACATTTACATTGTCTTCTAAATTAAACTGTTTCAACTATATCATATACAGTTTCCACATCCACAAACATCATTAACTAATTCCTCTCCATCACCACAAACGTCTTCTTTAAAATCTCTGTGTTTGTTTTCATCAAATTTTCTAAACAAAGAAACCATAAATGCTCCATCAATCTATTAGTACAAACAAAACTTACACTCCCTTACCACATCACCACCTCCCTCTTACAGCGAGTCCAACTACTCCAGCTGACTCTATATTTGACTTAGTTATAGACAAGGTGAGACACACATAAGGGTGTGTCTTGGCAATGTCGCCTATACATAAACTAGACCTGCCTTGGCCACTATGATATTAATGACTCAATCCAGGACATCAGACATAAGGACAAGACATCACACTTCACTCACACTATGACAGGTATATCTCTTCCTATGATCTGAATGTCTGAATCAGTTACAAGGTTTTACAATATGCTGGGTTGTGAATATAGTTACAGTGGTCTGGTTCGCACTCGTTAACAAGTTCTCGAAGATTCTAAAATTGATTAACTTAAAGTTACCTCGAAGATTCTTAAATTAGGTTAACGAGCAACCCCTTGGTTAACGAAGTTTCTTACAAACCGACCTCAACAAGTCCACCTTCCAGCCATTAATTGGTTCTAGGAATACGTTCTTTCTATTTAATGACCGTAAGGGTTTATACTGTTCAATAACTTTAAAGTTTAATGTTTAATTTTTAGTCATTTAACAATTATTAGACACCGTTGAGTAAAGTATTTTGGATTTAATGCTTGACATCCAGCCTCTTAACACCAGATAAGTTAATCTCTCTCTGTTTTTTTCACTGGGTAACGCATCTTGTATGACTCTTCAACTAAACCCCTTTTCTGTGTTTCCAAGCAAATTGCGTAGTCATTTTTAGAAATTTATTTTTACATGTGACAATATATAAAGTGCAGTGTTATTTTAAAGAAATATTCTTTATTTACAACAAGTTTAACTTTAAAAAGCAGAAATCGTGACATAGTTTGAATCCAGCATGAAGACTTTAAAGAATCCAAGAAAGCTATTTTGTGATGGGCAAGCAGAAACCATAAAAAAAACATAGACAGGCATTGAGAACTAAAATCGCTTTAACACAAAAGAATATGGCACGTCGTAAAGCATCAACCTTAATAAACAAATTCACCCTGAAATACAAATTAAAGAAGTGAAAGTGAAGACAAATCTACAAGGTGTTTAAAAAGTAGATCTGGTACGAAACTGAGAGGTTACTTATCATCTGGATTGAAGGAAGAAGAAACGAATAAGTAAGTTTTCCCAAATTTCTGAATTCATTTAATGAAAAAGAAACCAGGAGATTTACTAACATTTAAAGACAGATCCAGCAAGTTCTTTAGGCTGAAATTTACAGAAAGATTTCCGAACCAGCAAAAGACTAGTTCGAAAAAAATTTGAAAAATAAGTAATTTTCCGTGTTGTTAGGCATGCTGGTGAAGCTGCTAGTGCTGATAAGGGAAGGGGGCAGCAAAGGTTTTTAGATGAATTTAAAAAACTGATGGAAGAAGAAAATTATCTTCCACAGCAAGTGTTCAATGTGGACGAAACTGGGCTGTTCTGGAAAAAGATGCCCAAAAGAACATTCATCACCAGAGATGAAGCTTCTTTACCTGGGCATAAACCCATGAAAGACCGTCTCACTCTATTGCTTGGTGCCAATGCTTCAGGGGATTTCCGACTGAAGCCTATGCTTGTCTACCACTCTGAAAACCCCAGGGTGTTCAAGCAACAGAAAGTGGTAAGAATAAAGCTTGGAGTTTATTGGAAGTCCAACCGTAAGGCATGGGTGACAAGACAGCTCTTTAATGAATGGGCTGTTGATGTGTTTTGCCCTTCTGTCATGAGCTACCGAACCACCAATAAACTCCCTTTAAAGGCTTTTCTCCTCATGGATAATGCTCCTGGTCATGACCCTGAACTTGCCAGAAATTTGGAGTATCAATTTGACTTTGTGAAAGTGTTGTTTTTGCCTCCAAACACTACATCAATCATACAGCCAATGGACCAGAATGTGATCAGCAACTTCAAGAAGTTGTACATGAAGAAAATGTTTAGGTGTCATCAGGCAACTTCCAATGATCCTGAACTAACACTGAAACAGTTCTGGAATACACAATTCAACATCCTGGAGGCTGTAAAATTGATTGTGTCATCATGGCAAGAAGTCTCCACTAGATCCCTCAATTCTTCATGGAAAGCACTGTGGCCATCAGTAGTCCATGATTTTGAGGGATTTGAGGAAGAAACAGAGTTGGACCAAGAGATTGTGTCCATTGGTCAGTCATTGGGCCTTGAAGTGGAGGAGGAGGATGTGGAAGAGCTTGTGATGTCTCATGAGGAGGAACTTACTCCTGATGACTTGAAGCAACTGGATGAGATGTTACAGGTAGAGGCCGACAGTGGTGAGGAGGAAATTGAAAGTGATGACCATATGTCAGCTAAACAGTTGAAAGATGTGATTTACTACTGGGAGAAGTTCAGGGAACTGGCTTCAAAGCACCCAGAAGTGGAAAAAACTGAACTAACTTTGTGTCATGTTGAGGACTCGGTGGTCTCCTTTAAACAAAAGTTAATGGTGAGGAGGACAGATGCCCCACAGACCACAATTGACACTTTCTTCAGTAAAAGGCAGAGGGAACAAGATGCTATCCCTCAGCCTTCCACTTCAAGAAGGAGAGAGGATGTTCATGGTGGAGAATCTGTCAGTCCAGAGGTTCCTGACATTTTCATGGAAGGTGACTCACCTTCCAAGAAGCAGTAAAATGCTTCTCCTCCACCTCCACTTCCTTCTCTTCTCCCTTCTCCTCCTCCACCTCCCACTTCAAATTCACATCATCATCATCATCCAGGAGCCTTCTACATACACACCTCAAAGTAAGTGAACTTTTCTACCTTTTTTGTTGAATTTAGGCAATTTTCGGTGAGCTGGAACCAATTACCCAAAAACCCATAGAAACAATGGTTTCGGTCAACGAGCAACCTGCTGGAACGGATTGTGCTCGTTAACCGAGGGACCACTGTATTTAATTACTTACACTGGTACATCGTGCAGACTCAAACCAACGGGGTGTCGGAACCAGAATAACAACCACTTTGCCATTTATTCCACAAATCATTCTTTATGTTGCTCACAACCTGTTCCACCTCCCCACTTATCATTTTTTCTTCATTCCATTTAACACTTTTCATTCCTCCACACACCTGACTGGTCACTTCTGTCTCTCACTTGTCCGTTTTATCGAGCAGTAGTTAAAATTATTCTCATCTTTATTTAATTTTTTTTTCTCCATTACACACATCCTCCCTCATCATTCTCAACAGTCACTTTTATATATTCTCTTTGGTCTTCTCATTCTATTCACTTCTTCCATAACACATCTTATTTTCAGTTGAGTTGAGTTGAGTTGGGTTGGGTTGGGTTGGGTTGGGTTGGGTTGGGTCGGGTCACGTCAGATTAGGTTATACTTTTCCCCACCAAAAATGGGTTAATTATAGTGACAATAGACATACAAACAGGGGTAGAGAATGACTCACTTTGTACTCTTTATTATAGCCTTCCTTCACACACTCTGGACACTCCCAGCTGTTGGGCAGATCCTCGTTAACAATCCCATCTGCATCTGGAAACTAAAAAAAAAAAAAAAATTATTAAATCCCGTCAAGGATCTTCCAACTGAAGACGTTAGATTACACATGTAACTCAATGACAGTTACCACCAGGGAAGTGAAACATATTTAATTCCTCAGGAAGCAACACTTATGATGATGATGATAAATACAAGCTATTCTACTCCTGTTTCCTCCTATGCTAATACTAGACAATGATGGTTATACTGTGAGCGACAAAGAGCAAATCCAACTGCCTAAAATGGTTAGCAAGCTCATACGTGGAAATGATAAATTACATTATTAAGGGAAACTCTGTACAGTACTTATAAAATTCTACAACGGAAGAGATAAATCTATGGTCACCACCACCCACGTTTCACTTACTCTTCAATCTAGTTTCATCCACCTGAGTATTTGATGTTCACCCTCACCCATATTCCTTGGTGGCCATTAATCTGGTAAACTACTCAAGAATCAGTAAAGGTGATATTTCCTGCTGTCAAATTTTCTAAATGCAACAAGACCCATATATTATTCCTGACACTCTAAAGTCATGTTACATAAACCACTCTGACAAAGACTTGGTTGTGACTGCTAAATACCACAAACCCCGACCTGAAAAACCAGAGACTTACTTTGTTACTGATGCATTTGAGGTGAGATATCTTGAAACACACACAACATTCAAAGAGGCTACTTGGTGTATTTGCAATGGGTTTCTGTGGCGGTGCAGTCAACACTCGTCTCCAACCATCCAGCTGGCATTCATAGCAGACGGCAGCAGCGGGGAGTATGGGCTGTCAAAAAGAAAAACACACTTATACAGAACTCTCATGACACGTGAAATGGATCATGTCACAACTGTCTTATGACGATGAATAGATATATATGTATGACTCAGCTACAACAGGAGTACTCTCAGTTCTCATAGCATAGTTGACCTTCCCAAACACTTACAGGAAATAATACCGTGCTCTTCTCCATAAAAATTCTAAATCGGTGACCACAATAACATCACCAGCTCCGAAGACGCCTACAGTAACTCTCTGAACATCTTGTAAAAATAGTTGATGTCATTTTGCCGTTTATCAGCAGGGAACAATAAACAGATCATCTGATAGTCTGATGTATATTATAAAGGTGACAAGGGTTGACCATCAGATTATGCCAAATTAATGGCTCCAGAGCAGGAGTGTCAAACTATGGACCGCAGGCCGCCGGCCCTTGGGATGGTTAGGGCGGCCCATGATGACGGTAAAATTTATCAGCCCGTAAAATTAAGATAGAATTAGCATGGTACCGAACCCTATACACGATAAGCACTTGACACCTCTGACGGGAATATTACCTTGCAGCCAAATATAGAAAACTTGTGGAAGAAAGCGTTTGAGATGGTGGAAAATGAGGCCGCCAGAGGCTGCATGATGGTTCTTGTACCGTATGTACATAAATAGTCATAAGATTGAGTTTTAAGTTTCAAAAATACAAATGGAATTTATAATAAATTACAGCCTCAAAATAATGCAGTATACAGTAGAATGTCAATTTAAAGAGATTCAATTTAAGATAATTGATTTAAAGCGGCATCCACAATTAAGGACAATGTTTTAATTTAAAGCGAATCTTTCCTATTTTGCACAAGTCAATCTGGCGCATCATATTTAAAATTTTGCGCCCATATTTCTCTGGGCACGTTACACTGTCCTAAGGGCAAAGCTGTACTGTACATGTACTCAAAATAATGTACTAAATAATTACTAAAATTTTTGTCTAGTGCAAACTATAGCATGTTTACATTCAAATTAATCACTATCTTATAAGAATTCCAGCAATGTAAATTATATTCTCCCCAGTCACTTCTGTGACATTTTATAAGCAAAAATATAAAATCAATCTAAAGGACACAAATAAACAAATAAATACTTCACTAGACCTTTGGCACCAACTGTCAAACATGTCCCCTCCCTTCCCCCAATCTTCCCAGCCAGTGTTTGGTGTTTTAGGCTTAAAGTTTTTATCTTATATAATGTCACAGATTGTTAGAGAATATATTTGTACACAGAATCTTTAAGACAGTGAATACCTGAATATAAACATATATTTTCCACGACAAAAATTTAAATTGGAACCAAAATTCTGTATGTCTAATGAGCTATAAGTACGTTTATACTACAATTAATCATCATCTTACAGAATTCCATGTTAATTATATTCTCCAAAGTCACCTATGACAGATAAATAAATAAGCACTAGACCTTGGCATCAACTGTCAAACATATCACCTCACCACTTCCACCCCCATCTTCCCAGCCAATAAACAGACCATTTTCCATCCCTTAATTTTAGCTGTGTTGATTTATGAGTGTTTGTTTCAACATAATACTGCAAAAACATTGTTTTGTTTATTCTAGGAGATGGGCTGAGGTGCATCTGGGTAGATTCGGTCTTTTTAGTATTTTGTGTTTCTCTCAAGTACCAAACTAAATTATTCCATTGAAACAACACTTCAATTTAGTGCAAATTCGGTTTAAAGCGACCTCTCTTGGAACATATCTCGTATCTCGCATTATATCAAAGTTCTATTGTATATGCCTTTTGCTATCCTATTATTAGCATTAACCATGTTTATTAAGTAAAATGAATTTTATATACTTAAGACCAGACAAACCCAAATGAGGTATTCCTGGTAAGGCAATGTGTGAAGCTGTAAACTTCAATCCTGCAAATATGTGATATAGCACTAGTGTTGGCCCTGAAGTGGGTAACTAAAATAATAATTGGCCCTCGAAAGGTTTTGAGTTTGACACCACTGGTCTAGAGTCACAGTGGCAGCTACAGGGGAGGGTTGGTAATGAAGACATCCAGAGCAGATGGTCAGAGGAAGTCAGGGATGTTACTAAATACAATGTTAATCACAGACAAGGTAGAAATTAACAGTCAATGTAAGATTCTAATAATGGTAATGTCTGACTACACAGTGTGGTGACTGCTGAACTGGGCCCCAAGGCTTACCATTAAAATTGGGATCTAGTTATTTTGGTACTTCATTCCCTGAGTAAAAAGACCCCAAAATTGTAATGGTTATACATGAAAAGATTAAAAGATTTTACAGCTTGGACTGATGCCCATTTGACATACTTTGAAACCTTTATAATTAAATGGTCAGGCAATAATAATAATAGTAATAATAGTAATAATAATAATAATAATAATAATAATAATAATAGTAATAATAATAATAATAATAATAATAATAATAATAATACAGTAATAATAATAATAATAATAAAAATATTAATAATAATAATACAGTAATAATTATAATAATAATAATAATAATAATAATACAGTAATAATAATAATAATAATATGGCGAGAATACCAACATAACCTAACCTTACTGTGGATGATGGAAATAGTATACGCCCCCAAGACCTGAAGGTTGGCCACCAAAACCCTCAACTTCAAACATTTCTAGGCTGTCTATCCTCCCAGTCACCATCTCTCTCTGTGGTACTGTATACACCTTTTGATTTCATTCTTCCCTCCCATTCTCTGCCTTCCCCTGGCTCTCTACTTTCATATATAAAAAAAAATAAGAAATATTACAGTACTGTTTACTGTAAGAGCCTTTTCATTGTTAATGGCTAGGGGAAACTAACAATTTTTTCAATCTTTATCTTTTTTTTAAAATGATAAAAAAAGTACACATATTAAGTTTTATAATACGTAAATAAATTGTTAAGTTCTACGTCGTAAAATATTGACAACTGCCCATAAAACATTAATTAATACTTTAGTTACCCCAACACCCTTGACCCCCACAACCCTCTAGTAAACAGCTCTCCTGGCTTCCCACTTAAAGCTGTTGTTTACAATATACTCTCAGAAGTGACTGGTACTGCATGTAGTTCTTACCTGTGTGCACTTTTTCATTTTGCATGTCTGTTTCATTGTACCAGGGCCTCCGTATTTTACCATGTCTAGACAATAAACGCACTTCTTGCAATCCTCTCGTAAACATGATTCGCAAAATTTACCTGTAAATAACGATAAAAAACTTATTAACAAATTTCTAGCTATCACTCAACTGGTTGTAAATAATATGAATAAGTACAGTAGAGAAAAACACAATCACTGCCACACTTAAAACAAACACATTATCAGTACTTTTCTTAAATTATTATAAAAATCTAATGCAGAAATTATTTGTACTGGTGATTTTTACATCAATTTACACCTCTGTGATTGTTAAGACTTAATGTATTACTAATAGGCAAAGTCCCACAAGCTTGTGAAGCTTGGTGCTGACAGGTCTACTAGTTCTTGGAGAATTGAGAAGATTAATTATTATGTCTCACAATTTTCGAGATAAACCTGAAATGGTGTTAGGAAGATGCCCTGACCAATGTAAATCTTTCCTACTAGGTTAGGTGCCATTAGGCCTCAATGTATCAATAATTTGAAGACAAATTATAACTGTCACTTATTAAATGATACAAGGGACCAAAATCACTTCCAGTACAGTAAGTCCTCACTTAACGTTGTGTCGGTACTACATCGCTAAACTTTAGAGACCAAAAATATGTTTAACGTCCCGGTGATCCGATACTATCGTTTTGCGTTGTCACAGACTACTTTCTACAGAGCATCACCCGCTCTTGTCTGGTCGCTCTACGCTCTCTCGGCTCGGCCCGCTGCCCTCACTCGTGGAATGTCACAGCTTCCCCAAGCGACGCCAAGCCCAGTCTCTGTTACGATTTCACATCATTCGTGTGTGCTTAAGTGCTTTTGCTCTAAATCTGTACTATAACTATTCGAGATAGCTTCCAAGTGCCCATCAAGTGCTACTGATGATAGTGTAGGAAAGAGGCAATGTAAGACCATTACCCTTGCTACGAAAATGGATGTATTAACCCGATTTGAAAAAAGGGGAACGTGCTGTGGACATAGCCTCTGTGCTTGGTCTAGCCCCCACAACGGTGTGTACTATCTGAACCAACGTTGACAAGATTAAGGTTAGTGCTGGAAGTGGTTCTCCTCTGAGTGCTACTAAGACAACTCGTACTAGAAGCACTGTGATAGAGAAGGTGGAAAAGATGCTGGCAATGTGGATGGAGGACCAGAATCAAGACAATTCCCCTGTGAGCCTTATGGTTATCCAGCATAAGGCCAGATCTTTGTTTGATGACATTAAGGAAACAGACGGTGAAAGATCGAAGGAGGAGACCTTTACGGCCAGCAAAGGCTGGTTTCAATGATTTAAGCGTCGGTATAATTTCCACAACATAAAGATGACTGGTGAAGCTGCTAGTTCAGATACAGTTGCTGTCAAGACATTCCCGCCAGAATTCAAACGGATTATCCAGCAAGGAGGTTACTCATCGAAGCAATTCTTCAATGTGGATGAAACTGGTCTCTTTTGGAAGAGGATGCCTGAGAGGACCTATATCTCCAAGGAGGAGAAAAGAGCGCCAGGTTTTAAAGTGGCAAAAGACCGCTTGACGCTGCTGCTTGGCGCGAACGCTGCAGGTGACTTCAAGCTGAAGCCTATGCTGATTTCTCGTGCTGTCAACCCACAAGTCTCGAAAGGTTACTCTAAGGATCACCTTCCTGTCATCTACAAGGAAAATAAGAAGGCATGGATAACCAGTGTCATATTTAGCCAGTGGTTGAACATGTACACCGTCCCTGCACTGAAGGAATACTGTGCCAAGGAGAACCTTAACTTCAAAATTCTTCTGATTCTTGACAATGTTCCAGCTCATCCTCCCAATCTCGACAACTTGCACGACAGTGTAAAAGTTGCATTCCTGCCTCCCAACACGACAACACTGATGCAGCCTATGGACCAAGGCATCATCGCCGAATTCAAGGCGTATTATTTACGCCGTACCATGGCCCAGCTGCTCAAGGCTACAGACGGAGAAAATAGACCAATGATCCGAGAATATTGGTGCGGCTTCAACATTCTTCATGCAATTGACAACATTGGCAAGGCATGGGAAGAGGTTTCAGAAAGTTGCCTGAATGGTGTGTGGGGTAAACTGTGGCCTGAGTGTGTCAACAGTTTTACGGGATTCACGGACTTGGTCCCAACTGTGAATAGGGATATCCTCAGCTTGGCTAGACTGGCAGGCTTTGATGAGCTGGAATCAGAGGATATTGAGGACGTCCTGGCATCCCACACAGAAGAGCTCACCAACGAAGATCTGCAACAACTAACAGAACACAGTCCCGTTGAAGACGACGACGACGAAGAACCTCAACAAACGCTAACTTCAAAGATGTTGGCAGAATCGTTGAACATGTTCTAGCAAGCAATGCAAATGATTCTAGATGACGACCCAAAAAGAGAACATGGCTCAAAGGTTCAACGCAGCATTGAGGACAGACTTGGTTGTTACACTGAGATCTATAAGGAGAAGAGAAGCACCAAGTAGTCAACACTGGATTCATTTTTTCGTCGCGGGATGGCAGAAGCAGCAGCTTCGCAACAGCCGGCAGCCGAGGAGGAGCAAACAACTATGGAGGAGGAGCAAGTAGCGGCGGAGGAACCCCAGTCAGCGCAGGAGGAGAAGGCAGCCGCAGTCTCAGTAACCCGCCTCCTCTCCCGCCCTCCTCCTCACCCGCCCTCCTCCTCCTTCGTTTCACTACCCACCACACTCGCTCTACCACCTCCGCCCATCGGTGAGTACCAATACAAACTTAGTACTGTAGTTCTACATACTATTTTCTATAGAAATGGCAATGATTTTCTGTATATGCAATGTTTTTCATGGGGCAAAGGGAGGATGGGGAACGTAACTCCTGTATTTTAACTATTTCTTATGGGGAAAATTGATCAGCTTAACTTTGTTTCGTATAATGTTGCATTTTCAGGAACGTAACCCCGACGTTAAGCAAAGGACGCCCTGTGCTTTACTATCCATCCTGGTCTTACAGTTCATCAAACTCTTATTTTTTCAAGTACAGTATTAAGAGTAACAAGGTGAGTGTGCCCATCCCTGCACTCATCCTTCATTATCCATCACATTTATAAACTTCCTTCAACACTCAAGATTCATGAGGCAAGGCAAACGTATGACCATATTTACCACAGCAAAAATAATTTTATTATACACGCTAAGGGGTGGTGGATGGGACGCTCCTGTCTCCTGTGTACCGCATGTAGAAACGATTCCCAACTGACAATGGAGTGTTTTTCATTTATTCCTCACATTTATTGGCATGCATCCTTTACGATAACATGGTATTCCTGTATTAGTGAACTGCTTTAGAGATGTACGATGTCTGAACTTTGGTTTCGGACTATGTGTGTATCTGTCGGAGTATGTGTGTGTCTGTGTGTGGGGGGGGGTCCACCTGACACATCCCCATCTCCCCATGTAATAATGGATTCACTCTACATGGCATTTTCTGGGAACACAACCCCCATGTTCAGTGAGGACGGCAGTACACATAAACCTCATTTATCACCCATAAGATGATTACATACGCCACTATTGTCAACTGCACTATTTTTTTTTTTTAGAGTATGGATGGGATCAATTTTTAACAGTGACAAACTATTATAAACACCATAGCAGAACACACATGATAAAGACCGTCAGAAAAAATAAATGACAAGCAGGGGGGGGGAGGGGGGTACTTTCCTTGCTCTTGACTCCAGCCAATATATGCCAATGGGAAAATTCCTTATTGCAGTGCAGTAGTGAATGCAAGAGCCCCAAAAAACAATTAGGGTACAATCTCACACAAGAGTAAAAATATGACCAAGCTGTGACCTTACATCTAACTCTCCGGTGTCTTATCTTTGCAACGTTTGGAGGTAATCCCACGATTCTGTTTTCGTCAGAATTTCTGCGTCTTCTCTTAAGCCCTCCTCCAGTGTGCTCTCCCAGTGGTCGCTTTATCCCAAATTTTGTGGGTTCCTGTGGGCAAAACATTAACATTTACTGTCATGAAATAATCAGAAACATCTTCAACACAAAATACTTAATACTGTACTGATTCATATTAACTTTACATATTGTGGGGTGAAGAAAAATATTATTTCAACTAAATACAACTGAAACAAACTTTAATCGCAGTGAGAACATTTTACGGCATAGAAAACTGACCCTCGGCCACCACTCTAGGACTGGCTTAGAAGTTCTGGCTAACTCAGGCTTGTCATATCTATGTTTCTCTACCACCGTGCGGACGTCTCTGATGAGCGCTATGGGGTCTGTGATGAGGTCCGGCACGCACTTCTTACTAGTAGGCAGTGCGTGGAGGTACATGACGATGGCCTTGAGTCCGTGGAGTTCGTACTGGGTCAGGTGGACGTGTTCTTCGGGTGGTATGGTCATATTTACATCGACCTTGGGTTCTCCTTCCGCCTTCACTTCCTGTAAATAAGACAAGAGAACATATCCTTCAAGTAGTTGTATGGTAGCAAAGGAAACACAGGGTCAGACACATCTTTACTCCTGGCGCTTGTCTCTCAAAAGATAATGCCTCGCACACACTCAGTCTACACCTCACACATTCAGTCTGTGTCATCTCCTTGATGTAGAAGTCTCCCCTGTACATCCTCCTCATACTACACTTGAATTTTATTCTGTTTCTTGATTCATTCACTTAACAGATATACAAATCTTTTAGATATGAAATGTAAATCCATCTCAATATATTCTCTTTGCACAGTTAATGTCGCCAGTGCTCGTGTTAAGTAATGAAATAGCATATCGTTGGACAGTTAAGGATCATAATACATTAACTATAACCTAATCTAACCTAACCCTGAAGTAATGAAATAACACACAAGTGCACAGTTAAATAACACAAAGCATTAACTATGCCCTAACCTAACCCAACCTTGAAGTTATGAAATAGCACATCGTTGAAACAGTTAAGGATCGTAATGCATTAACTAAAACCTAACCTAACCAAACATACAGTAGTGTTGTGCCCACCTCATTCAGCTGATTATTATTATTGGCCTTCATTTTAGTAGACATATATTTAATGTACTTTTCTTGTTCATCAGGAGGGAGCGTGAGATGCAAGCGACCAAGCAGGACGTGGACATACCGTTCTAGCACGTACCACAGCATCTCCGTGAAGAATGGGTATCGGAACTTTGACGGTACCTGAAATGAGAAGACAAACAAATAAAGACGTGTTAAAGCAGTCGTCTTCTTCTGACTTCTTTGTAATCCATCTTGAGACGGTATGAGAGAGACTTTTTTGGTAGACACAAGGAGAGAGGTTGTAAGGAGTGACATTAAGAGTGGGAACCCTGACAAGGGAGACTGCAACAGACTGGCAGGTAATCGCGGCAAACCCACGTAAGCATGGAAAAACACCTTAAGTTGATGATAACGACAGCAGATTAAAATACTGTAATATACTAAATGATTACAAAATATCCTCCCATTCTTAAGCAGTTATAATAAAAACTAACAAAACAACAGTGAAAAGCAGGATACACATAAAAGCGCTTCAAGGGGAATGTTTATTTTAATATTGGCAGCTACTAAATTCCTGAATGGGTAACTGCCTACTCGTTCCTTGGCCGAGCTGAACTAAGCCTCCTTGAGTTTTTCCTTGGGCTGCGCTAAAAAACTACTTTTATTTACACCAATGCCGACAACTTTGGAAAACTGAAGGAAAGGATACGTGAAGCTGTTAGAAAAGTTCAGTATGGTGTGTTATGGTGTCTGCGGAGCCACAAAGCTCACACAGTATTGAACTTCCATGTCTAGACAAGTAATCTTTTACGACTTCTTCTTTATTAATATTTCTGGGTTTTACAGGTAGCTTTCTTAGTTTTTTGTAACCAAAGTTCAAAATCAACAACAAGATCATTTATAATTACCAGTATATAACAACAGCCCATACAAGCACAAACTGATCACTATAAGAACAGCCCAGTCCCAACCATTGTAAAAATCATCAATAACTTGTAACAAACCAGTGTATTCACTCCTAGTAAATACTACTTTTTGCACTGTCACTATGTTGATATGCCCTGTAGTTTGAGCTTTTCCCCACCCAGCTATTATATATCTTATTTGTATCACTTATGTTACTTGTATATTATTTGTAAATCGAAACCCATTCCCCAATTATGTAACTGTATATTTTCAGCCTTCTGGCTGCTATGCTCTTTCAATAAACCGTTAATTATTATTATTATTATTATCATCATTACAGGAAAATGCTTGAGGGTACATTCAGCATTAGAATAAGTGGTATAGTTGACTGCATACAAGAAAAACTGCAAATTTATGTATGTATGTATGTATGTATGTATGTATGTATGGGGGAAACAACAGCAAAGTCTTCAATCTAAAAATCCGAAGTTATAAAAGCCACAATGTACAATAAGTAAAACATAAAACTACCATTATCATCACTATATCTAACTTGTAAATGTCAGTGAGTTGTTGACGGTATAGTGTTATTACTGCGCTTCAACAACTACAGTCTTAAGCGCTGAACTCTTAGTGGGTTAAGTGAAGGTACACTAACAACAGAGGGTCTACAAGTTGTTAGGAGGATAAGAACATGAAGGTACACTAACAACAGAGGGTCTACAAGTTGTTAGGAGGATAAGAACATGAAGGTACACTAACAACAGAGGGTCTACAAGTTGTTAGGAGGATAAGAACATGAAGGTACACTAACAACAGAGGGTCTACAAGTTGTTAGGAGGATAAGAACATGAAGGTACACTAACAACAGAGGGTCTACAAGTTGTTAGGAGGATAAGAACATGAAGGTACACTAACAACAGAGGGTCTACAAGTTGTTAGGAGGATAAGAACATGAAGGTACACTAACAACAGAGGGTCTACAAGTTGTTAGGAGGATAAGAACATGAAGGTACACTAACAACAGAGGGTCTACAAGTTGTTAGGAGGATAAGAACATGAAGGTACACTAACAACAGAGGGTCTACAAGTTGTTAGGAGGATAAGAACAAAAGTACAATAAACACAATCCTACAAAAGGCCAAAGCTAATGTTTCAGATCAGTGGAGCAATAAACATTACGTCTACAGATACAAACCACAGGGCAGAGTCTCATGGAGTACTTACATGTGTCGCGTCTTCCACCTGGGCGACTCTCAGCTGCTTTTCAATTCCAAAACTATGCAGGAAGTTGCCGCCGAACACCAAGGAATCTTCTGGGGTATATACTGCATGAATCCATCCTGAAGAGAGAGAAAAAAATTGGTCACTTCTTGTACAACTCTAACTGGTGTTTTACTCTTAGTTGAGCTGTGAGCCCCTTGATCCAACCTTCATAAAATAGAGGAAGGAGTAAAGATACAGGATAAAAAAACAATAGATAGATCATCCATGTGTTGACATTCTCGTACATGGCCACGGTTGTCTAGGCATTTTCCTGTTACTGCCGACACTTTTTTGCACTCCTCTCCCTTGCCATTTCTTCCATTTTATAAGCAAAATCTTCATGCCATAATTCACTGCCATTCATTCATTCTTACTGCTGTAACAGATGTTTTTAGCTGTGGTGTTCCCCTCCACAAATGAAAACCCCCACAAGATATATCACCTATCCTGGTCACAACACTTGAGTACAATACATTAACCCTTTGACAATGGTGACTTACCCACTAGAGTACAATAACAATACCACCCTCCTCAAGGGAACAGATCATCACATTCCAAGGGTTAAACAACTGTTCAGGGATGTCAAAACTATGATATATATACATTAGGTCTAGTGCCAACCTACCGGTGGGTATAAAGAAGGTGTTTCCTTGAAACAGTTCTATACGGGCACACTTGTCCACTGTATCCCCGAAAAATATGTCACTCTGCTTGCCTGAGAGGACCCACTGTTCATAAAGCTGTAGATTACGTTCTGTTGGAGGTATTAACCAGAAGATCTGAAGAAGGAAAAAAGGAAGTACTGTACTCAAATCATCATTACATCAATATATATATACAGTACAATGCAGTATATAATATAGCACAGTCACACCTCTCATACACTGGCCACCAGGGTCTGTAAGAGCTGCTCATCTTACTATCAGGGATGAGGACAAATAACCTTACAATAAAAAGTATCTCATATATATGTCTAAGGTCTTAGGGACAAGAAGATAGGACAGCCGTTCCAACATCGTGTTAACTGAATGATTTGTTGCCAAGGTAATGAATGGATGTCACTGGCATTAACAAAAGACTAGAAGCACAACTGCTTATCATACATGCTTTGAAAGTATCTACTGTGGCAGTTACAAAATAGTGTGCTCAAACTAAAAAAATTTCCTGATGCCAACACATGTGACACAAATTCAATCCCATGGTAAAGCAGGGATGGTGACAGGTTATTCAGCTGTGGTGTGCTCTGACCAGGGCTAAGCTAACCCCTCCCACAAATTAGAACAAACAGCAATATGGGAACAATTTTGTAAACCGTTTTGTATGAATTCTTCAAATACTATCTAAAAACACATAAAACTACGTCAGAACAATAAACTAGTTGTCTCACTTTCTTTCCCCGGAGAATGTGATACCACACTGACGTGCCACCAAAATCAATGTGGAAGTCTGTGTAGCAGCCTCTGACGGACATGAGGCAGTATTTTTGAACTTTGGGATACATCATATCTTCGAGTACATTGGTGGCTTCAGTCTGGGCTTCTTTTAAATGTCGTGGCCACACTCGCTCCACCCAGTCTATCTGACGTACCTGTTGAGGAGAAAACGTTCATTCACTGTACTCAAACCACACTGACAAAATACTGTACCTGGAACAATGGTTGAATAAAGGGAAAGAATTTACTAATGGAAGGGAGTGGGAATAGATCTTTGAGTGAGTTTTATATTATGTGCAGTTTTGAAACTAGATTTTCTTTAAATTAACATTCCTCTGAAGAACCAGCGACTCTTCTCCTCTGCATAAATAAATGTTACCCTAAACTACCAAGGCTCACCAGCACAAGAATGAATCTCAGTACCTGTTGTGAAAAAATTTCTGTACTGTACCTATCATGAACGCATCCTACTGTACCTGTCATGAATGCATCCTACTGTACCTGTCATGAACGCATCTTACTGTACTTGTCATGAAGACATCTTACTGTACCTGTCATGAACACATCTTACTGTACTTGTCATGAACACATCTCAGGGCTGGAGGGGCACAGTAGCAAGGGTTAAGACTACCAATAACAACTGATGCCTTGTGTGATCTAGGCAACAGGAAAACTCAACTTCAAAGTATCCTGAACTCCCTAAATGTCTAAGGCATTAAAAAATAAAAAATGGATCAGATGGCATGAAGTACTAAGAACCTCCTTTGACCGACAGAACATATTAATTTGCATCCATTTTGGGAGGTAAGAGAAAAATAAAGCAATGTCCAACACCCCTTACCATGTGATGAGTTATAATGACCTGGGTGAAAAGGGGGGAGGGGATCACTGTATGCTTTAGTGGAATGTAAGACTCATGGAAGTGCCTGATCGTGGATAGTAAACCATGTTAACAGTAAATAAAGATCCCCAAGTGGAAGGAACACTATTTAGGTGGATACTTACTACAGTTGGAGCCTGGATCAAGGACTCCAATTTTGTGTGAGAAAACTCTAAGGATATGACGTTGAGCAACTTGTCCTTGTCCTGGCTCTCAAAATACCGCTGCCAGTCTTTCATGGTCATTTCTACGTTCTTCTGTGTGTTCACGTCCATCACATCCAGCATTCTACGTGACCCTGAGACAAAGAGTTGCTTTAGTACCAAGGTGACACACACTAATTAATGACTTCCTTTATTTCCAGGTGACTATCCTAAAATACAGTACAGGTATAATTATGTATAAATCTGCATACTTTAATCTGAATGTAAGCACATTGTTCTATAAAGAATAGTGTACGTACTTATAAAACAAAGATTAATTTGACATCAAGTGCCATACAAAAATAAAACAAGTACTGTATTCAAATGATATAGATTTTGTAAACAGTTTGATCAATTAAGAACCAGATAATTAATCTCCTGTTAACCACTATTGACATACTGTATATAATACATTCAAGGATCCATTTGCTTTACTGTGTAAGCTTGAAGCTAAATGTTAAGTGTGTCTAGTTAACTCCACTTGTTATCTTGACCCTTTCCTGTTGTTCTCTATTCTTGTTTTGGAAGGTTCTTCCCCTGGTCCAGCAGCTGAGTGGATACAGCACTTGTCTCTTGTTGTAAGGGTCACCGGTTTAATACCTTGGCACTCCCAGTCCACTCGACCAAATATGGGCACCTAACATTACGGTCAGGGAGACAAAGACAGTCAAGTGCCTCCTTGTGTACAGAAAGCTTAGTTTAGTGTGCTGTGTCCACACTATTCCAAACAGCCATCAGGTCTATGAATCCCACGTTCAGTTTCAAACTTAATCCCTCCAGTATTTCCCCTCTTCTCCGAGGTTCTTGTCCCACACCCCTCGATTAACCTCACACCAGTGTTCCCATAGACTGCTGAGAGTTACACAAACTGGTTCATGGGAAGGAACCATTCACCTGGGAGGCAAACACTGCCAACTGAACTATAAAGACATGTACTATTAACTATCTACCTGGTGTCTCTCCTATACAGTACACACATACAGGGGGGGTATTGTGTGAGGGTGAATCATGAAATACAACAACCCAAAAACCGGAAACGGAAAGTAATGGCAGGGGGGAGAGTTGTAAGAGAAGAGTATTAAGTACAGCAAAGATCTCAAGTAGGAACACTTCACAAACACTTCTTCATCTCCTTAACTTTACTTGATTGCACTGGAGGAGGAGCAGCCATAATTAACCTTCTTCATTTTAATAGCTTAACATCTATTACTGAAGTGAAGTGTAAGCATTAACTTTTACCTGTCATAGTACAGAAACAGGATATACAGTATTTTGTTTTTCACGGAACATTCCATACAACGCTGCTAAACCAACACCAGAATAATGTAATGTACAGGCAGCGGTGGCAAGCGTGAAAAAGTGAAAGTGGGTCCCATAGGCATGACTGCCCGTTAGCGACAGCGTTGATACAACACACTGTATACTAGGCCTTCGGTACACAAGGAGACAGCATGGCCGGTACTGCACTCGACCGCCTTCACTTCCCCAAGTTGTAAACTTAAGTACCCATTTACAGCTAGGTGAACTGGGAGTGCCCGGGCATCGAACCACCGACCAATAGAATAGGAGACGAGCGCTGTATCCACTCGACCGCTGCACTTCTGTGATAAGAGTACGGTAATAACCTTCTATTCTTCACCACAATCTTACTGATCATTACAAATATTCATGGATTGGTATAAAAAGAAAAATTTATATAGTATATATTTTCACAATCTTAAACAATCCCGTTTGAGCTCACCGACACACAGACGAACATCATTGATGGTGAAATCTGTATTTGGTATTACGATGCCGAGTTTTGACTTCTCTCTGAAGAGCAACGGCCAATTAAATCCATTCTCCTGTACGTGCGCAAGATTATAATCTGAAAGAAAGAAATTGCCATACAATACAGGTAAAAATGACTGTACTATACTATACAGCTCCTCCCCAACTTACAACAGGGTGAGGGACCCAAATCCAGGTTGCAAGTCGAAATGGTCCTAAGTCGAAAATGCTTAAATAATACATAGAAAATATAAGATGGGTGTCTCTTTTTCTTCTAAGCACCACAAAACTCTCACTTTTACGCTTGCCAGCCATTTTAAAGTGAATTACAAACGAAAATTTTGTCTGTGTACTGACGTTGGGACTCAAAAATACGCAATTTGACAAAATTTTGGTATGACTGAGGCAGGTCGTAAGTGCGGGTGGTCGTAAATCGAGTAGGTCGTAAGTCGGGGAGGAGCTGTAATGTACTACATAAAAATACAGTATTGTACTATACAGCATACCCAAAACTGTCCATAACTGTTAGAGTCCTCCACAGCAACATGGGTTACAGACAAGAGTTAAGTAAACTCCAAGACTTGAGGATGAAAATATAACCATTGCTATACAGTGCTTTACAGTCTTCTTAAAGGAGTTACTGATTACTTTTTGTTTTCACATAAATCAAATCTAATTCTTTACATAAATCATCAAATGTACCGTAGTTCTGATGAAAATTTTACATAACATTCAGGAAAACATCAACCATGAATGAGAGACTCTCTCTCTCTCCCCCTCGCACACACGCTCGCACGCACACACAAACATTCACTCAAAAAATATATCTACGATTTTGTGAGAATATATACAACACAATTAGACGGAGGATTTTGACATCCTCGCCGAGACAAAGAGTCGCAGTGTTCTTTTTTAAATTCACCAAACTCCTCCGTACAGATATATCCTGCAGCAGGGACCCTTTGGAAAGAGCCTACACAATACCCACCATCCAGTACAGTATTACTTTTCTTGAAAGTTACAGGTACTAAACAGTTTAGCTTTGCCGTTGCTGTAACTTACCTAAATCGGTCATGTCTTTTACAAAACAGGAGTTAAAGTCGTCCGATTTTATCTTTTGGTCGAGGTCAAACGTGTGGTGACCCTCGATCTCCTCGTCGCCCAGAGCCCAGTCATCACTGTACAATTTACGCTCCTTTCGCTCTCGCTGAAACAAGAAGAGATTTTAATTACACAGCTGATATTGATCACAGGTACAGAAATATCTCCTTTAGCCGGAATCCCTCAAACCCGGAACTCTCCGATAGCCGGAATTGAAATTTTATCGGAAATTTTTTCCCCAAGCAGCATTTTCCGGAAAATTCTGGCTAAGGGAACGATTTTCCGAGGGGCACATTTTCCGGAAATTTTTGAGAAAATCCCAATAACCGGAAAATTCCGGCGATGGAGTTTTTTCCAGGTTCGATAGATGATGTTATGGGCAATTTCTGGAACTTCTGAGAGCATTTTTCCATTGGCCCGAAAATTCCGGGGATGAGGGATTTTTTCCCCGGCTTCGAGTAGTACAGTAATAATAAACAGCATAGCTTAGGTTAGCTTAGGATAGGTATAGTTAGGATACGTTAGGTTAGGATAGGTTATGTTGGGTTAGGAAGGAGAGGATAGGTCAGGTTTGGATAGACATACTGATCCTACTACATTTGGTAACTGAACATCATATTAATTACGACAAAATAAATACATACACATTGCAATACTCATGTTAAAACTATATAAACGCACTGTACGGCACCAAAGTAAATTCATGTCCAAATACAGTACTGTATCTATTATCTGTTGTCTCAATGTTTCACAGTGTGTGGACAGATACTTTTTGAGATACAGTCGACCCTCGTTAATTCGGACCCCTTTAATCCGGATTTCGGATAAATCTGAACTGTCCATATTAAATTTCTGGTTCTGGGATTGTTCCTGTTGCAATTGGGGTTGCAATTTCAAATTCTGTGTCACTACTAAGGAATAACGAAGTCTCTGGTGCACTGCACTCTAAGATTAAGAGAAAACGGACGACTCAGGCATCCTGAAGTGAGAGAAAACGGACTCCTATGATGGGACACTCAAATAAACATACACATAGCTACATATTTTGTGGACTACCAACTGTACAGTATCCTTTTCATCACTTTGTAATAAACCTAGTCATGCTTACCTGTGTTTCTGATAATTACCATAACATTACAGTAATACCCCGCTTAATGCGGTTTCGCTTAGCGCGTTTTACCGTATACGCGGTGCTTCGCCAGAGCCGAACTTTCACTTAACGCGTGTTTTTTTCACGTATACGCGGCGAGTGTCCGGCTCGAGACGCTATTTTTAGATTCGCCCCACCCACCACCCGCCTGCTCTCGTCTCTCCCTCCTCCTCCCTCCCTCCGCCTGGGCAAGCCGCGCTGTAAGGTTGCGCAGTGTGTCTTCTACTAACGTAAGTGTTACACCTAACTTTTAATTTTCCTTACCTAACCTATATTTTTCCTAACTTAACCTTTATTTTTCCTAACCTAACCTCTTTTATATTACTTGTTTGTTCATACCATCATAAAGTTAAGATAAAATTTTTACAACAACATAGTTATGTGTCGTCCAAAAGTGGAGTTTGGGGGGTCGGGCCAGTTTCTATTGGAATTAATCCCATATGTTCTGTTGTTCACTTAGCGCGGTTTTCACTTAACACGGTACCCTGTGGGTTTTATTGACCGCGTTAAGCGGGGTACTACTGTATATATTTATATATTAACGGTTGTACAAACACAAGGCCTCACACATGCCACTCAGACTGACAGACTTGACAAGTTTTACCAACCATAAAGACAGTTGAAGCTTTAAACATCACTCACAATGGATCTTGAATATTCCAACTGTAATCAGACATACCTAAGTTGCCTCAACAATTGCAACCCCAGTTGCAATATCAAATTCTGTGTCATTACTAAGGAATAACGAAGTCTCTGGTGCAGTGCACTCCAAGATTAAGAGAAAACGGAGGACTCAGGCGTCCTGAAAAGAGAGAAAACAGACTCCTATGACGGGGCACTCAAATAAACATACACAAAGCTGTATAATGCAATGTTATGCAATATTAACCCCTAAATCGGTTAATTCGGACAATCGGCTAAAACGGACACCCTTCCCCCCCTATTAGTCCGTTTTAACGAGGGTCGACTGTACTGTACATCCCCTTAGGCTTCATACACTGTACAGTATACAGTAGCTACCTGTAATCCTGATACAATTCTGTACTGTACTAACACTTTGGTCACATTTCTGTGACTGTAGTGTAATACAGTACTGTACAGTACAATACAAAGAGTAAATATATGTGCCATCCCTAATTCATAAGGGCTTGGTTTACAAAAAGCTTAAGCTACATTTTTTTTTGCTTTTTTCATAATTTTTTTGCAGGGTCAGAAGGAGCTAAGGTGCTGACACTGGCATCTCAAGAGCTTGTTGTACCACAGCTGCTGGTCAGCTTATAAAGACGGGTGGATCCAGGAATATCAAAGGGGGGGGTCGAAGAAGTTGTGGGTGGGGGAATATGCCAAGCACTAACCCACCCAGCTGGTGTTGTTTTGTGAGATCTGACCAATATCATGGGCATTTTGAGGCCATGTGCACTAATATTAAGAGATATTCTGAAGTCAATAGTTTATAAAAACTCTTTACAAAACAAAAAATGCCCAAGTACAATACTGCATAAAGAAAAAGTACAGTATTGGAATTTTCTGGTGAAAGGGGGGGGGGATCCAAACACCCCCCCCTGGATCCGTCCTTGAAAGACCCAATCAATAAAAGCAGCATAGTGTACTGCATGGTTAAGTAAACTAATGATAAAATACTTGTACTGTACAGTAATGTCTTAATTATCATGACTCACAGGATCACTAGGTGGAGTAGGGGCAAGATGCTGACGTTTTTAGTTTCCCACAGTTTTATCTTGTGTCAATGGAAATAAAAAAAGAATATATATACTGCCTGATAAGTTTAGCATTCATTCTGCAGATAATACTGTACCTCATGAAAATAAAATCCAGTGAAAGCAAAATAAAAGAAGGTACCATGTAATGTACAGTACAGTACAGTACAATACAATACAGTACAGTAAAGTACAGTACAGTACAATATATTACAGTACAGTACAATACAGTACAGTAAAGTACAGTACAGTACAATATATTACAGTACAGTACAATACAATACAATACAATACATTACAATACAGTACAGTAAAGGACAATACAGTACAGTACAATACAGTAAGGTACAATACAGTGCAATACAGTACAGTACAGTACAATACAGTGCAATACAGTACAATACAGTAAAGGACAATACAGTACAGTACAATACAGTACAGTACAGTACAATACAGTACAATACAGTACAGTACAATACAGTACAGTACAGTACAATACAGTACAATACAGTACAGTACAATACAGTACAGTACAGTACAATACAGTACAATACAGTACAATACAGTACAGTACAATACAGTACAGTACAGTACAATACAGTACAGTACAATACAGTACAGTACAGTACAATACAGTACAGTACAGTACCATACAGTACAGTACAGTACAATACAGTGCAATACAGTACAATACAGTACAGTACAATACAGTAAGGTACAATGCAGTACAATAGAGTAAAGTACAATAGAGTACAATACAATACAATACAGTACAGTACAGTACAATACAGTGCAATACAGTACAGTACAATACAGTGCAATACAGTACAGTGCAATACAGTACAGTGCAATACAGTACAGTGCAATACAGTACAGTAAAATACAGTACAGTACAGTAAAATACAGTACAGTACAATACAGTACAATAGAGTACAGTAAAATACAATACAAAACAGTACAATACAATACAGTACAATACAGTACAGTATACTACAGTACAGTATACTACAGTACAATTCAGTATAATACAGTACAGTACAATACAGTACAGTAAAGTTCTATACAGTACAGTACAATACAGTACAATCCAGTACAGTACAGTACAATACAGTACAATACAGTACAATACAGCACAGTACAATACAATACAGTACAGTTCTATACAGTACAGTACAATACAGTACAGTACAATACAGTACAGTACAATACAGTACAGTACAATACAGTTCTATACAGTACAGTACAATACAGTACAGTACAATATAGTACAACACAGTACAGTACAATACAGTACAGTACAATACAATACAGTACAATACAGTACAGTACAATACAGTACAGTACAATACAGTACAGTACAATACAGTACAGTTCTATACAGTACAATACAATACAGTACAATACAGTACAGTACAATACAGTTCTATACAGTACAGTACAATACAGTACAGTACAATATAGTACAACACAGTATAGTACAATACAGTACAGTACAATACAATACAGTACAATACAGTACAATACAGTACAGTACAATACAGTACAGTACAATACAGTACAGTACAATACAGTACAGTACTATACAGTACAACACAGTACAGTACAATACAGTACAGTACAATACAATACAGTACAATATGACACAGTACAATACAGTACAACACAGTACAGTACAATACAGTACCAGTGCAATGCAGTACCGGGCACAATACGGTACCGAGTACAGTACAGTACAGTACAGTACAGTACAATACAGTACAGTACAATACAGTACAGTACAATACAGTACAGTACAATACAGTACAGTACCATACAGTTCTATACAGTACAGTACAATACAGTACAATACAATACAGTACAATACAGTACAATACAGTACAGTACAACACAGTACAGTACAATACAGTACAGTACAATACAGTACAGTTCTATACAGTACAGTACAATACAGTACAGTACAATATAGTACAACACAGTACAGTACAATACAGTACAGTACAATACAATACAGTACAATACAGTACAATACAGTACAGTACAATACAGTACAGTACAATACAGTACAGTACAATACAGTACAATACACTACAGTACAATACAGTACAGTACAATACAGTACAGTACAATACAGTACAATACAGTACAGTACAGTACAATACAGTACAGTACAGTACAATACAGTACAGTACAATACAGTACAGTACAATACAGTACAGTACAATACAGTTCTATACAGTACAGTACAATACAGTACAG